CTTTCGGACCTGAGTTTTTCCGAGTAAGCAGAGAAGCCTCACTCCCATTATTTTTACTCACTACCATATGATTAACATTATAGCGAAGTCTAGAGTTTTTTTTTCAATCAGATCAACCATTTCTTTTTGTTTCTTCAATTTTTTGATTTTACGTTTATTTTGGGTTTTCAAATCTTCCTCAGCACATGTGGACCTGCGAAAAGTTAGCAATTATACATGTTCAGTATTGTCCTCAAACATTCTGATAACATTATGTACATTTTTTGGCTAGTAAACGATATTGGTGATACGTCCTGGAGCCCTCACAAATTATCGATTGGTTGCAGTCGACTTTTACGTAAAAATGCATGATGCTGACAGGAAAGCGAGTGAAGAAGCGGCTTTAAGCTACATTTGGAAGACAAAAGTTGTCTGAGCGATATGTAGCAGTAAATATTGAAAATATGTCTAGGACAGCACGACTCTGAAGTGATGGCAATTGCCACCAGGTCGGAAAGGGCTAAGCAACTCTGACTTCAACATCTTCGGAATTTTTTTTTGTATAGATGACGAAGGCGAGACCGGCTCTGGTGTGTGTTGTGCGTAAAGTGACATTCTCATTTTGTGCCTTAAGAACTTTTCGGTGCTAAATTCACATGGCGGCAAACTAGAGGGGTGGGGGCAGATATACATCAGAACATTGTACATACTGCCTTGCCAAATTCTGCAGTTTATTTGTAATCAATACTTTTGATTTTGGCGAGCGCTGTATATTTGACGGGGTGGACTTAGCAAATGTACGAGCCATTGATATGGACTTTGCATTTTTTTCTACATCATTCGTGCTTATTTAACACCTTCAAATCTTTTCAGTGACGGAAGAGTTGTGTCCCAAACAAACTCATGAAACAACAGCAACGCTGGGCGATTTGCCGCATTCATTCAGGTTCCTCGCCAGTCGTTTGACTCCTTTAGATTTTTTTCAAATGATCAACATCTAGTAGAGTACCGTTTTTCAGCCTTCTTGCTCCCCTCCTTGTCCCACTCGACATATCTTCAACGGAGTTGATGGAAATGTGTTCGAAGCGAGTAGATCGTCCTTCGGAATTCCAGAGTCTGTTCTGTGAAAAAATATCTCCTCCTCAAGCGCCGAATGCGCCAGAACTCAAAAGGGTAAGCATTTGAGTGTTTTTCTGCGCTATGTATAATATGATCGTGCAGTGTTCCTCCCCGCCTTCTGTGACGTCCCTTCTTCGGCCAACTCCTCTAGTGGTTGTTGAATCGAGAAAAGACGCGCAAGCACCTGAGCTGCAAAGGTAGTTTTGATCATATATTTCAATCGGTGAAGGTTTCCGGCTTTACAAGTATATGGATTGGAGAAGAAACTTTTCCGCGTAAATGCAATATACTTAGGTTTTGTGAAAGTGCTCCAATTGCGCTTATTAGAGGGCTCACTGGAGTGCTGAAAATGGACTTGAGCTTGTTTTCCACCAAAACACTTTTGGAAGTTGCTCCAGAACACGAAGTGGAGGTATGAAAATGATATGTTGATTCGTCATCAAACTGTGGTGAATATTTGTTACACGATTACAGGTTCGAACACAATACAAGATGCCATGCGATGTCAATGTCGATCATTTGGGTCATCCCACATGGGAATGCATGAGCACTCGATCTTACACTACAGTCATGAAATATGCTCAGTACCAAGCCGAGACCTTCAAGCACTCTTTAAAAGGTATCATCTATTTGTGTTTTAGATCTGCATGGTCAAAAATTCGACCAACCGCCAATAGCTTGTTCCGCTACTTCTGGCAATTTCAGTCTGATAATTTTATTGAGAAGGTATAGCACACCGATGAGGTGCAGTGCTGGACACTAATATAAATCTACTCTAAACTCTAAAAATCATCGTCATTTGCATTCTTGTTGACGAAACTGTCTAAATCTCGCTCTTGTGCGCATGTCAGCCTATCACCATTTCTCGAAATGATCTGGTTGATTTGAGATAGAAAAATTTGAAAAAGCCCTCGCTGAAAGCCGATCACTATTGCTAATCCACTTGCTTTCGACCACGATTGCATTGACTCGTGGATTGTCTTTGTACACAACCTTACAGCATGTATGAAGTCCCGTGCGTGAGCAGTGACAGTGCGTTTTATGCATTCAAAAGCATTGAAGTCCTTGCTGCAACAAACATCTGATTTGAAGAGTTCAAAGCTCTTCTATTCCAAATAAGAGTCGTGGAAATCGCTGGTCTTTCCGATAAATGAGGTGAAGAGCGCTTGCATTGATTTTGCGTATTTTTACGCATAGGTGTCATATGCTCCGACAAAAAGCATCTCTGAATCAATCCGGGCTAAACTTTTTGCACATGCACTTCACGGCGGTGTGGGTGTCCTAGGCTGCTTCACGTCATTATCGGTATTTCTAATGATTTCGAACTGGAGCTACGGGAGTACGGTTAGAATATCCATCTGATTCGATCTTTATGTTGCAAATAGGGGCTGGGAGTTGGAACGGTAGGAACGCTAAACTTATCCGGTTGAATCGGTTCGTACGGTTCAATACGCTATTGGTCAAGTCACTGAATTAACTAGTAAAACGGGTGAACCCGCATTGCGGTTCATGAACGGGTTGAAGCGGATAAGTATGGCGCCTACCGAAGGGGTTAGTGAGCACGCTGATCATGAAAAGTAGTGCTGACAGGGAACTGACAGATAGAGAACATGGACAAGGAATACAGCTCTTGACATGGCCGGGCGAAGCCGAGTATGCCAGCCAGTAGCTGATGTTGACGGACAAGCTCCAGCCTGACTAAAGTGTTGTCATCTTTAACACCACAAAAATCT